GAAAAGAATCGAAAAGAATCGAAAAGAATCGAAAAGAATCGAAAAGAATCGAAAAGAATCGAAAAGAATCGAAAAGAATCGAAAAGAATCGAAAAGAATCGAAAAGAATCGAAAAGAATCGAAAAGAATCGAAAAGAATCGAAAAGAATCGAAAAGAATCGAAAAGAATCGAAAAGAATCGAAAAGAATCGAAAAGAATCGAAAAGAATCGAAAAGAATCGAAAAGAATCGAAAAGAATCGAAAAGAATCGAAAAGAATCGAAAAGAATCGAAAAGAATGGAAAAGAATCGAAAAGAAAAAATCGAAAAGAATCGAAAAGAATCGAAAAGAATCGAAAAGAATCGAAAAGAATCGAAAAGAATCGAAAAGAATCGAAAAGAATCGAAAAGAATCTAAAAGAATCGAAAAGAATCGAAAAGAATCGAAAAGAATCGAAAAGAATCGAAAAGAATCGATTATTTTTAAGTAATCTACTAGTCGAAAACAACTGATTATTTTCCACTAGTAATCCATTTTGACAAGAAAATTATTTAAATAGGAAGTTTTATTTGAGTAATTGACTTTTTTTTTTATTAATTTATAGAAATCTACTAAAAAAAATTGTCAATTAAAACTAGCCAAAATAGCTGAAAACCTACCAAAAAAGCAGAAATCTACCAAAAAAGCAGAAATCTTTAAAATGTCGTGACGTAATCTACGTGCGATGCACAAAATGATGCTAAAAATAACGGGGTTTCAAGCATGCACACTGCTGTTTCACGGATCTATTTACCTGTTTTTTTAACAATCATTCTCAGACACCTCTCGCGTTCACTAGACATATTGAACTGACAGACGCGATCGGCCTGAGCGCAGTGGGGTACCAAAAAAAGTAGAGATTAATACGTACGAAAATAATAAATATATTAAAGTGAATTTATATTATTAAGTTATTTATATGTGATTTTAAAATAATGTGCACAAATGAACCAATGGAGAAACCGTCCCTGCTTATATGACAAATATTTGGGACAGCGCGACCGATTAAAGAGAGGCTACAGCACTTTTAACGCGGCAGTATTGGCTGCTTGCTGCCTGTCGTTTTACTCGATCTCGCCTTAAACGACAAATATTATTATTGTGTCACATTCTCCAAAATTCTCATTATTTTAACGTAGAATTACAATAAAAAAACAATTTAGCGGTTGTTTTTACTAGAATAATTCGTTCCTATTATTATGATTACGACAGTCAAATAAAAACCAAATCAAATCCAGGGTAAAATTGTTTTTCCGCGTAGGATTTTAATAAAATCATTGACGTCATAAATTGTTGTTATCTTATCGCTGGCCAGTAGGCGCAATCAGTAATATTAACATAAAAATTGCATCACAATGATTAACGTGTTTCTTCAAATTTTTAAAAGTGTAGGCGATCGATCCCTACGGCTAGTAATTTCATTAATTTATTCTAGATGCACGTGCATATAAATTTATGCAAGTTTTAACATGTAAAAATCCTTTTGATAAGATAAAATAATAATAATTAATATGAACGCGTATGTTTTATCTGTATTTAAACAAATACCTTTAAAATTTTTTATCAGTCGGTAGTTAGAAAGTGAAATAGAGTAGTGTTCCTATATCAGCAATTAAATTTGGGTGCAACGACAGTGGCATTTTTATTTGTTTTTTAAGGTGGGTGAAGTAGGTACAATACTAATAATAACTGTGTTTACTCAGTGGGAGAAAAGTGATAAAAAGGTAATATCTATTGTATTTTTATGGAATAAATAAGAGAACGATAGATAACGCAGGACACTAAAATTTTATAATCCTAGATTATTTTTATTTATTTAATCCTTGTTTAAATAAGTATAGGACTGATGGTATGTATACCTCATTTTAATAGGATTTACTTTGCCATGTATTCTACCCTCATTATTTCTGTTATAATTATTAAGGCTTAATTTTGAGTGCAATCGCTTTTCTTAATAGAATTTCATTTGCGGGACTATTTTTTTTTTCACATCTACTGTAGATGTCAAAATATTGTATGACACACGGACGAAAAATGATTTTTTAGACTTCTTGAAGGTCCAGCCCACACTTAGTTCCTCAGATAGGTATAAATTATATTAATTTGTGTCTATTTTCATGCATCTAAGTTTTATATAATCATCCATTTCGTATATTATATCCACTATAAATCTTTGACTTTTTTATGCCTTTCTTGTTCTATTTTAGTCCTTTTAATATCCAACATTGGATGCAGGGATCCTCCATTTTCTCTAACCATTTCTACCCTACTCTAGCTCTGTTTCCTTTGTGGTATTCTTCAATTTTCTTAAGATCGTCCCTCCACCTCATTATCATGTTCATGTTTGTCATCTTTACTTTTGTTATGTAGGCTTATTCTTGTTTATTTCATTTTAATTTATAATCGTTCATTGAATTTATTCACATATTTATTGGAGCTAGGCACTGATGATGATCACCAAAAGTATTTTGCAAAATAATTTTTTCAAATAAAATTTTAACGAAATATTTTCTTTTTATTGTTAATATTATGTTGAGGCTACGTAGACACAGTCATAACCTCTTCTGGTTCTTTTTAAAAGATAAATATGTTTACTAACTAAAATAGCATCATGCAAAATATGATAAAATGTGCTATTGTTTTGTTGATTTTGCTGTTTAGACGGAAACTTTTTGAAAATATTCCTTGTGTGGGGTTATCAGAAGGGCAGAGGGAAAAATAGTTATTGCTCAGAGAAAACAGGTAATGACTGTGTAAAAATTAAATATTTGAAACACTATTTACAATATTTATAAAATATTGATTCGCATTTATTTTTATCTACTACCTCCACTATAGTTACGTGCTTTCTTTATTCTCTTTTTGGATAGATAATATATGCGTATCCACTGTTTGCATCTCTACATGAGATGCAGACGTATGTGATAAAACTTTTTGTGACGTAAGCGAGAATATTCGAGAACGCTATAGAATATTCGAGGAGCACACTTAAGAACTTGGTGGAATTGAAGAATTATTATTTGAGAAGTTATTCATTTATAGTTTAAATGATATACCAACGAGTGGTTATATTAAAAAATTAACTTTTAGTTGAAGTTTGATTGGTAAATTTAAAAGTTTCTAAACGTAAAATTTTAAATATTTAAAAATACATTTTACTGTCACATTATGAAGTTTTCAAAGTACCAGCTTATTTTAAGTGTCCCTCGTTCTAAAATAACTTAAAAAAATCTGATGTGTCCAACACATGACTTTACTATCTAGTTATTACAGACTTTTTTTCGGTTATTGTAGCACCTCTGTAAATATTTAGAGGTTAACTTAATATATACATTTTCCACATCTAACTCGAAACATTTTTCTATATACACTCATTGCCAACGAAAATGCTGAAAACTTTAAATTTTTTACTTTTGCTCCAATTTTTTGTTTAACAATTTTCTTAAAAATCAGAATTTTTTTCATTTTGTCAAATTTCTCCAATACGGACCATTTTAGAAAAATTTTGTATAAGACAAAAATTATAGAGAAATATATTAGAAGTAACTTTTATTGGAAGAATTTTCTTCTCCAAACGTAAATAATAGATATATTTTATAAAATATAAAAATGACCGCCTATAAAGTAACCCCCAGACTCTGCCCAAAATCTAATCAGTTCACCTCAAGTCGAAATAAAGCACGAGTTTATTTCTTTATCCGTTTTTGAGTTTTCTTCAAAATTTACAATTTTTCACAAATATCTCGAGTACGGTCCATTTTACAGAAATTATGTATAGGACAAAAATTATAGAGAATTATATCACAAACAAGTTTTATTTGAACAATTTTCTTAAAAATTTAAAATTTTATATTTTGTAAAATTTCTCTCGAATATAGACCATTTTAGGAAAAATTTTTATAGAACAAAAATTATAGTTCCTATTATAGTTATTACAAGGTAACTTTTCTTCAAACAAAAATAATTTTTCTTCAAACAAAAATAATATATTCCATAAAATATAAAAACGACCCTCTATAAAGTACCCCCCCAGATGTTCCGACTCTGTCCAAAATTTAATCAGTTCACCTCAGGCTGGAAGCTTAAGTTTAAAATTTAATGTGTTTTTCTTAATCAGTTTTTGAGTTTTCTTTAAAATTCGAAATTACACTTTTTCTCAAATATCTCGAATTACGGTCTATTTTAGAGAAATTATGTATGGAACAAAAATTATAGATAATTGTATCACAAACAACTTTTATTTGAACAATTTTCATAAAAATTTTATTTTTTTACATTTTGTAAAATTTCTCGAATACAGACCATTTTAGGAAAATTATAGAGAATAACATAAGAAGTAACTTTTATTTGAAGAATTTTCTTCTGCGAACGTAAATAAGAGCTATATTTAATAAAATATAAAAAGGATCCCCATAAAGTACCCCCCAGATGTTCCGACTCTATGCAAAATCTAATCAGTTCACCGCAGGCAGGAATAAAGCTTAAGTTTAAAATTTGGTGTTTTTCTTTGTATTCATTCATGAGTTATCGTGGATACAGACACACACACAGACATCATCGCGAAAATAGTCAGAACAGACCCCAAAACGTAAAAATCCTTAAAAAACCTGAGGTCGAAAAAAAATCATGATTCCTATACTTTCCTTATCTGTATACAGATAGGAACATTTGCCGGTTATAACTATTTTGGTTACCTATTTTCAATTCTGAATAGAAACAAAACAAATGTTTTTTTTTATCTAAACAAATTAAACCAAACGACTTGTTTTAACATAATTTTTAAATATACCTAATGTTTTTTCAGGAATTGACGTCCACTAAAGTAAAACCTATACCGTTGACAACTGTATCAAGAGCAGAGGTAGTTTGTTGACGCTATTTTAATAATACTACTAAATCATTTTACCGAAACCAGTATGAAATTACGATAAAACCAATATGCCCTTTGTGTTGCTAATTGAAGTATTTTCTGTTGTTTCAGTGTGGAATCGAAGGTGATTCAGACGACGACGAGCTTGGGGCGATGAAAGACCTCACCATCAACGATTACATCAACACCAGCGTCAACACTCAACAGCAAGATGACCTTGAAGCTCAGCAGAGGCTGGCTGTGCTCAGTTTCGAACAAGTTAACAGACTTAACGAGGTCATGGACGAGGTCGTCTGCATACACGGCAGAGGTAGGCTAAATTTTAACCAAATGTTTTGACTTCCTTGTGAAGATAAAATACCTCAGCAAGTAAATGTTCTTGATGTACTCAATGATCTTACCTACATTTTTACTTTTTCCACAAATGAAACTATATCTGTACACAAGATAGAGTAAAACTTAAAATTGGTAAGACTTAAACAATTTATTAGATGGAAAATAACGGTTAGTTTGGATCAATCCTGGTCACCATCAGATCTGTAAAAAGTTTTCATTTACAAAAAAAAAACAACAAACAATTTTTTATTATTCTTCAAACGGAGGTAATATTTTACTAATCACCTGTCAGAAACTTTTTAATTTGAAAATATTAATAGTATCATCAAAAAATATTGACAAATAGTACGGTGCCTAAGCGTATGACAAGAAAAAAGTTCCACATGCAGGATCCCAATATATACCTAATTTTTTTTTAATCTTTAAAAATGAAAAGGTAGCCTTCCATTACGGTAAGCAGGGTGCCAAAAGAATATTGAAAATCTTTTTGTGAAAAATTAATTAAAAAAGTGTGTTATATTCTTCAAAAGAAAGTAGAACTATGGTAGAACTGTTAAATTTAGTACCTGTTCATTGCTAGGTGTATGTAGGTATATTTCATCAATACAAAATAAGAAAATTATTATTTTACATCGTTTTTACAGTGTACAAGATAACAATAATTAAATAAGAAAAATAGTGTGTATTCTTTTGTACCTAATTGGAATTGTTGTGGAAATGAACTTTGAAAAAATAAGTATTTGATAAGTTAATGTTATGGTATGTTTGGTATGGCGTGTTAATACACTGCGACCTAAAATATCTATTGTGCCCCTTCTATTTGGCATGCTCCTAAATATAATACTCTTGAATTCTGTAGTGCTACAAATTTACTCAGAATGTGAATGGAGGTTTTTATCCTTACAGAATCTGCACTCACTATCTTCTACTACTCAGTTTACTAAGGTATCCTTTGGTCGACAATGCCCGGTAAGGATCCCTATTACACAGCGTAGCCTGTTCTTTCATGGGCACATAAAGGCCAATCTGTTCTGGTTATATTCACCCAGAAGTATCTTAGCCTATCTTTCCATCAATTATCTTCTAATGCCTAATTATTTTTTAATATCTTAATATTGTGTTACTACTGATACCGCAGAACGGCTCAGGTCCCATAAATGGTGTTCGCGCCCATTGAAACCCGTGAAAACGTTAACAGACTGCATGGAAAAACCTCATACAAGAAGAGTCTGAAATCAGACTCACAGCTACAAAAGAAGTTGCCACTGAAATAAAAGAAAATATTTATCCGACAACCACCAGGATTTGATTTAATTACCAGGGAGATAATTAAACAACTACCTAGAAAAGTCATAGTTAAATTGACCTATCTTATTAATTTCTCCTACAGATAGAAGTATATATCTAAAATTTGAGAAGCAGGCTAGGTAATAATACCTAAGTCAGTCAAACCACCAAATTGAGTTTCATCTTATAGACCAATCCCGTGACTTTCTGTAATTTCGAAACTAGAGGTTTGTTTTGGTTCTAGTTCGAGAATTTTTTCAGAACCATGCGCAAAACTATTACATCATTTAATCAAATGCCCCATTGATACTCACATTTGAAAAACAAAACATGGCCAGGATCCTTTCAACAAAACTAATTGAAAAAAGCGCAAATGCGTACATGTCAGTTCTGAAACAGTTCTTGCTTTGGGCAAGAACAGAAGTTACTGTTGGAGAATAGTTATGGAACCATTCCCACGAAAAATTAAAACACAGAATGGAACTAGTTAGGGTGAAACCAACAAAGGTTTTGGAACAGTTACGAACTTAAACCAAAACAAAGCTTATTTGAAAAATTATTTAAAAAAAATTAAAACCAACCCATCCTAGAAAAATATTATTCCGTCTTATCAGTTTGGCTTTAGAGATAAACTTATTCTATTCCTAGTTCTTGATCCAACATTGAAGTGAAATGAAGCAACCAGTTCCAGACAATTTATTACACCATTTAACAACTTATTTAAGGTAGTAAATCCACATGGTGAAGAATCTGGAATCTTCAGGAATCTGACGCTATTTAGAAGTATCTAACCAATTCATTTCTAACTTGTATGCATGTCTGAAAAATCTCTTCTGCACTCACAATCAGTTCCACATCACACCTGTAAAATGGACACCAAACAATTGAACCATGTTTCCATAATTAACCTTACAAAAGATAAATAAATAAGCCTGACGAATAATAACGTATGTAACATAAGTTTTGAGACAAAAACAAATCAATACTATTTGTTCCAATTTCAAACTTTACTTAAACTATATTATAATGCAGCTAGCGGCCCATAGTCTTCAATCCGCAGTACGGGGCGTGCTTGGGGAATATTAGGTGGATTATCTTCTTTGGGTACAAATGGGATATTATTGGCTTCTAACCAATCTTTAGTTTGTCTAGCATAGTGACAAGATGCTAGATCAGGCCAGAACATGATTTCATCATTAATGTGATGTTCGTTTATAAATCGTAACAATTTTGGCAAACATTTTTGTATATAAAGACCTGCAGTGATGGCTTCTTCTCTAACATGTCCTACATATGGTCGCGAAGCACCTGCCTGAGAAATGGCGCACCACACCAGAATTTTATCTTCAAATTTAGCTTTCCTTTTAAATTTCACATTATCCGGAACTGCATTGAAATCCTCAGTATAGAATCCATCATTCACTTTTATCTTGGAGTTAGATAACCTAAAATATTTTTCATCGTCCAAAACGATGATTTGGTTGTTTGCAAAGTATTGAAGCGTTAGTGCTCGACAACACCGTGAAATTCTTTGCAACTGCGCAGCTGTGTATTTTGGACATTTTTTTCTCTTTCTAAATAACATTCCACTTCTCTTAATTTCTCGATATGCAGTCATTTGTGAAACTCCATAGCGCCAACTAAATTATAGATGCTTTTTCGGGTTTCGATTTTATGCGCAATGTCACAAAAGATTTTCGACAGCTGTCAATATTTATGATAACAAGGCCTACTTGAATAAATTCCAGGCAATGGTAAAACTAGACTGAATCTTTTCGAAGTGATAAAAATTAGTTACTAAATTTGTCTCAAAACTCATGATACGTTAGAATGAATACTAGAGAAAGCTTTGCTATTTCTTAAAATAAAACCCATATTTTTAAAGGCCTTGTTTTCCATATGCGTTTTAAAAGTTAATTTAGAGTCAAGTCAGATCCCAAGAGCTCTTATCTCACAGACAATATCATGTTCATTTAGTTTATATTCATAAGAACGGCTTGTAAATGTAGTAGGTATAGCTCGGAAATGTAATTATTACAAAGCACTTGCTTATATTCAATTCTAGTAAATTTGTTATTAACCAGTTATGACCGGATGGACAATTTGAATCGAATATTTTAAAATTTCAAAAGATAATGAAAAACAGGTTCATTACAAGTTACAGATAATGTAGATAGAACATTTAGAATAAAGCAGGAAGAAGTAAGTGTACTTGTAACTGAGAGAAATCAAAACAAGAGTACCACAAAGAAATCTATTGGGACCTGTCCTTTAACCTGCCATTAATTGGTCTAAACTAGTCGTTATTTTTCATTTAATTAATTGTGTATGTGGAGGTACCGATTTTAAATATTCTACTTAATGACTGTTCACTATTCAGGCCACATTTGAGAAAATGGAAAATTTATCTTATTTATTATTTTTGTACTTATTTCAGGAAACTTTCCTACCCTTGAGATCCGTCTCAAAGATCTCGTAAATGTGGTGAGGGAAAAACTGGAGGCTGATACCACCTCGGGGGGAGCGGGCATGAAAGTCAAGGACATCAGATTGAATGGTGGCGCCGCTTCCCACGTTCTAGCCACCGAGACTCAGCCATACAACGACTTGGACCTTATCTTCGGCGTAGAGCTGTCCAGCTTGAGGAACTTCGATCGGGTCAAGTCCGCTGTGCTCAGTTCACTTTATGAGGTAAGACATACGATGATAATATAAAAGTATAATGAATCAAATTTTATTGGTCGTGGTGGTTATTCTTTTTGTTTTGTTTTAGATGTTACCAGATGGTGTTAACCGCAAACGCATCTCAACCTGCAGCCTGAAAGAAGCCTACGTCAGTAAGATGGTGAAAGTGAACCAGAACACCGGCGGCGACCGGTGGTCACTCATATCTCTAGGAAACTCCCGGGGCAGGGGGGTCGAGTTGAAATTCGTGGACTGTATGCGTCGTCAGTTCGAATTTTCGGTCGATTCTTTCCAAATAATTTTAGATTCTCTTCTACTATTCTATAAATGCAGTGAATTACCCATTAGTGAGAACTTTTACCCCACCGTCGTGGGGGAATCTGTGTACGGAGATTTCCAGGAAGCGCTCTACCATCTCCAAAAGAAACTGATCTCTACGAGGTACCCCGAGGAAATCCGAGGAGGGGGACTATTGAAGTATTGTAATTTGTTAGTCAAAAATTACAAACCTGCGCGGCCGGATTACATCAAGAGGCTACAGAGGTGAGTTCTATCTCAATAAAATTTGTATCTAATGTTTGTTGTTAAAGGGGATGATGAAAATCAAACTTTGGTGTGTTTTTTTATAAGGGAGTGAAACGAAAACCACCAACAAATATTTGATCATTTTAACCCTTACGCATGTCCATGTAATTTAGCTTATTTATACCTTAAGCCTGTCTTGTAAAAATATTTGGCTCCTTTAACACTTACGCCTGTCTATGTGAAAATATTTGGTACATTTACCACTTCAGCCTGCCATTTAAAAATAATATTTGGGCTCTTTACCTTTTTGATATGTCAAATTCAGATACATGTTTGATTTAGCAGTTCATTAGTTGTACAAAAATTATCGTTACTTCAACTACCTGTATATTATTTGCACAAGATCAACATTAATTTAAAATCTTAAAACTGTTATTTTCACTTATTAATCCACTTTCACCACTCAAAATCTTTTTTGACTGATATTAAATGTCACTTTTAGTATGATATTTCTATCATAGAAGTAAAACTTTTACTGCCTAGGCATTAAAAATCGTTTTACTACCTAGGTATTAAAAACTTACTTTTTCTACTTTTTTCTTCTGAAGTTTTGCTCACTAAATGGTACAGAGCAACCCAAACTTTGCTGACTAACGGAACTGATAATGTAATTCAATCAGGGCCATGGAATCAAACAATAATTATAACCTTCACTGTACACGCAATTGTGGTGCATTACATTTAACATTATATTATCATCTTTCGGTAGATATGTAGTCTAATCGAAAATTATAAAACAAGATTTTACGATTTAAAATAGTTTAATTAAAAATCATAAAATACTATTATACTATTAGAATAAATATTTAAAATGCGTGAGTTCCATTTTTTTATAAACACTATATAGACAATCTGAGAAAAAGTTAGATGTTTCACACGGCAAAGAAACAGATTTACTGCATTGGCTAGTTTCATTGCCATTGCAGTAAATCTGTTACTTTTATGCCTAGTTAAACAAATAACTATCAATATTAACAAATTTAAAAATAAATAAAAAGTAAAAAAATACGTATAATATAAATATGAATTAGTTCTCCTTCGCATAGGAAATTATAATAATTTTAGATTAAAAATTGAAGAATTCATTAGAGATTTTGGAGAAGATGAAGGACGGTCATGGTCACATTATTGAAAAGTATTTGTTTTTGTGGTTCATTTCAAGTCCTAAAGAGTGAACGTATTTATCTCCTGTATCTACGATACTGATTGGTAGATGTTATAAACATCATTACTTCGGGTTAAGTTTAATTAAAGTTGGATAACAGTAATTTCTGGAACCGGGAAGGAAGCTATTACTGAGATCAGGTTGAAACAGCAAGTGTGGAATTACTTTTATGTTTGGATTCGCGGTTTCTTTACATGTGTTCTTTGAACTTGAAATCCACTGGTTGAACTGGTAGGTTGTTCCCTAGGGAAAACAACTATTTCTTTGACTAATACCGTAATAAGTTGTAGTGAATTATATCTTAAGAAAATAATGTTTTCTCCGATTGACATTGTCACTTTTAGTAACATTTTTCGAGCATAGAAATAACACTTTTACTGCCTAGCCATTAAAAACTTACTTTTTCTTCTTTTCGCTTTTAAAGTCTTATTCTGCATGAGCATCCAGCCAAAAAATGTACTCTAATAAATTAACTACAACGTTACTATGAGTTATATTTGTATAATTATTTAAGGTATATAGTTATACAAACAACGACTAAAATAAATATTAAAAATACATGAGTTATATCCATTATAACTAAAAGAGATTTTAATTTTTTTTTTCAAACACACTGTATAAACAGTCGGAGAAAAAAAATATATTTTTCATTGCCTCGACTTCGCCCCGCCAATGTAATGCTACCCGCGGCTGTAAATCTGTCAACTTCTCTACCTAGTTAAATAATACCTATTATATCTTTGCTGTTTTTCTTTAAATGTCTCTGTCAATATTAGCCAAAGAAGCAGTTGGTATCTGGAGGGAAACGTAGTGCATAATATTTTTTGACAGATTGGTTTGATGTCATATGTAATTTAAACGGTAGCTTCCATTTTTAAAAATTAAACTTAATAGAGGTTTGTAACAGAATTTGATTCAAATCGCTTCTTGCAGTGATGGATTGGGACCTCCAGGGCCTACCGGTCAGGAGAGAAAATTGCCCACCTTTTTCATGGTCCGATTTTCATTAAATAGCCAGTGGGTCCTTTCACATATTACGGGGTTCCTAGCATTTAAGTTTGTTTTTCTCAAGGGCCCGCGGCCTGAGCAAGGGTACGAAACGAAGGCCCACTGCCTGGTCTCATTGTCACCCGATATATATAAAAACAGGCTTACGATTAAATATTACCGATTTTAGAATGGAATATAAATAAATCCACTTTGCCAGTAAAAACGACGATCCTATGTAAAATTAAATAATGCCAGTTGAATTTTTAATGTTTGGTCGCACATAATCGTATACATAGCGCGTCATATTGCGAAACCTATATATTTAGTATTCAAACGGTATGACGAATAAAAAAATGTATTGTTTTTATGTAGTTTTTCACCGACCTCAAGAAAGGAGGAGGTTCTCAATTCGTCGTAATATGTTTTTTATGTATGTTCAGCAATAATTCTTTAACACAGTGTCCGATTTCAATAATTCTTTTTTGGTTAGAAAGGGGGTACTTCAGGGGTGGTCCCATATTAATTTGGTTAAAATCTAATAATTGGGTCCATTAGGAAATCCTCAAACTCTTCATTTTTAACGTATGTTTAGCGGTAATTCTTTATCACCTTGTCCTATTTCTATGATTTTTTTTTTGTTAGTAAAGGAGTACCTCAGGGGTGGTCCCCTATAAATTTGGTCAAGATGTGGTGATAGAATCGAAGTCGGTTTTTTAAAACTACTTTTATAACTTGTATTCAAACGAGGTGATACCATTTTTTTCCTTTTTTTTCAATTATACTGAGTGAATTTATGTTTGATTTCGATGTAACAATAAGGGTGTTCAAGAAGCAAATTAAAACATTAACACATTAATACAAGGTGTCCCAGAACTCTACTACCAAACCAAAACATCACTCGATTTAATTTTATGTCAATTTGACCCAAATTACCTTTATCCGAAAATACTTCTTAATGGAGTTCGAGTTCTCGTTCATTTGCGGGATCTCGCTCTGCTCGCCCCAGAGATATTAACTCGTTACACAAAATAAGGCATTTCGTAACTGGTTACGTAAATATCTATTATATGATATTGTTTTATAAACTGGTGAAACCATTGCAATTTTAAAAGCACATTCATTGCTAACGAAAACACTTTTCCTCAAAGGTTTCCATTACGGTCCATTTTAGAGAAATAATATATAGAAAAAAATTATAGAGAATGATATCAGGATAATTTTAAAAATATTCGTGAGTACAAAAAAATTTCCGGAAATAATTTGGAAATAATTCGAATTTTGCACTTTACCTCAAAATTCTCGAATACGGTCCATTTTAGGAAAATCATACATGGGACAAAAATGATAGATAATGACACCCAACTAACTTTTATCTAAAGAATTTTCTATTCCAATCGTAAATAACTTATATTTCCTAAAGTAGAAAAACAAACAACTATGAAGTACCCCTTAGAAGATGCTCCGACTATGCCCACAATCTAATCATCTCATTACAAAAACGTAAAAAAAATTAATAATTTTTTGTTGTCATTTCACTAAAGCAAAGAGATATTCAACTTATGCTTGAATTATTATTAGTTTTAAAACAAGCAAAATTTTTTATGAAAAATAACATTTTCTCAAAGTTAAAAATAAAAAAGTAGTTCCTCTTTTTCATTCCCTGTATGTTTGTATCCATTCAGTCAATAATTCCAGCCACTCCGGAAGAAATAACTTCATAAAATATGCAAAACTCATTTGTAAAGTTTTGGGTCAAAGGAAAAAAATAATTAACTATCCAATTGTAGGAAAACATGCAAGTTTAATAGAAAAGGTAAATGTATTAACAGACAGCACTCTATTGATCTTGTATCTTTTATATGTTTATCGATAATAATTATTCAATCATGATTTCAAAGTAAATTAACAAATCATCGAACACACTCGTATCAATAAACCATTCCAGTTTTCAGTTTTCCAGTCAATAAAAAACAGGAAAATATTTAGCATATACGAATTATAATAGAAATCAAAAATATATATTAACAACTCTTTTATTGAATGAAGCCTTCTGCCTTTAATTACGTTTCTTATTAATCCGAATTTTTTCCACGGAATCAAAACCTAAGATAAAACTTTCCACCGTTCAATACATATTTAATGACGGACGCTGTACATATTGGAGTAATTCGTTTTCGATGACTAATGAAACTGAACTAAATAAGTCGTGAAAGTAGGTTACATGAAAAAGTGGCCGTGATTCCGTGGGGATTCTCAAATGCCACGAACTCCCAACAATTAGGTTAGGATAGATTTAGATGTGGTTTTTTTTACGAATGTGTATATTTCATTTTGGCGTCATTCTGTGGCTGAAATTCCTTGCCTATTTTATTTAATAATAATTAGCACATAGAAACTTAGTGTTCGAGTTTATTATCAGATTTGGTTCTTAATTTAATTAGAAGTAGTTTTTGTACGAGGCTTGCTGGAAAAGTTTCTTCTTTTATAATAGGCCTTCTAATGTTTTCCTCGTTGTTTTTAATAGTGCCTCTTTATATTTGTAACGTATTCCCAAATTACATGTATGTCATTTATCACATGTTATCTATCACTGTTACCTGTCACTGGTCACATCCCACTTGTAACCTGTCATCTGTCTCCTGTCACTTGTAAATATCTGTTTGACCTCGTGATCTCCGTACTCCTTTGAACTTAGTTGTAATCACAAATATGTGTCTCCTCATTTTTGATGTTTTACTGAATTCTTATTTAGTCATTATTATTTATTATTTTAAATGTTGATGACAATCCTCTTAATGTATTT